GACACCCACCCACGAAACACACTCCCATCGGAGAAACTAGTGTACAGAGTGTGTTAAAAACGGTCATTGTTTGATATGCATGTATGTGTGAGTTTATCATGACTGTTCACATCAGATACTTTAAATCCGATGCCTCGGACTGGGTTAGCATTTTCTTCTGTAAGTTAACTCTGGAGACCAATAGGCATTCCTTCAAGCCCAACAAGATTTTGCACCAATTCTCATATTCCAAAATAGGCTTCAAACCGAATCAAGCTTCGGAAGAAGCTAATAGATCTGGGCCTGGGAGGGATTGTTTTCAATTGAAAAGCGATGCTTTTGCATTCGTAGGTAAATCTACTTTGGGTGTTGCAGATATTTCTAAATATTTCTGGACTTTGGTCTTTCCAGTATTCTGGGGACTTTGGAATCCTCCCATACCGGTGCTGCAGTTCTTCTGCTGGGGTGCGGGGCTGCCTGTGGCCGGAAGGGTGGCCCGAACGAAGGGTTCTGGTGGTCTGGAGCCCGGTTCCTGGTCTTTTCGCAGCTGCGTACCGCCGCTTCCGCACTTTTTAGCCATGGCTGACTGCGCGGGGAGGGCCTCGGCTGCGGGCCTTGGATGGCCTGTCTAGCTCATCTTCCCCTAACCATCTCTTGCTTTCTCCTTACACCCAACCTGGGTCAAGGTCGGGTTCCCATTCCACAGCCCTTACCCGCTGCAAAGAGAGATCCAGGCACGCTTGCTCTTCCTGGGTCTGCTCAGGAGACCAGCTGGGCCACGCTTGGGGCGGGTCTTCTGTCTTCCTGGTACTTCTACGCAGCGCCTTTTATTAACATCGACTTAAACCCCATCTTCCTCTTATTCAGCCGGAACAGGCCCAAATAGCGAAGTGAAGTGAAGTCATCTAGACTGTTCAACCAAACCCCTTTAAAGTGGGTTTTTGTTGTTGTTTTGTGCTTTTAGTGTTGTTTTGTCCGAGACACAAATAATTCCTCTTTAGCCCCTCTCTTTTTGTGAGTGTAGGATAGCCTTTGTGCAGGTACCTCGGAGTATCCTGACATTTGACCCTAGTCTATACCCGGCAGAACCACCCCGCTTCTTTCCTGAGCGCTGAGTACAGTTAGCTGAGGTTTCATTCGCATTCCTTCCGTGGGTCACCCTAGGTTTAATGACTGCTCCTTTCAGTTAACACAGAAGTCTCAGTCGCGCAGTGGCACGCTGCATCAAAGGTCAAAGGCGGGTGGGGAGTGGATAGCGCTAGCCACAGATCCCCGGACGAGGTTGGACCAGGAACCGGAGCACCCGCACCGCTGTCCCCCAGGCTCAAAGTCCAGGGGCACATCCCTTTCTCACCCCTACCCTGTGAGCCCTTTCTGCAACCTTGGATTTGCCAAACAACTTTCATTTATTTTTTAATTAAAATGCAAATCATTCGCCTTCAAGCATAGTCTTGCCCTTCCTGGTATATGGGTGCATAACCTATAGATCTATACAGAGAGTGCGATACGCAGGGACCGTGGCTTCAAGTGCTGCACGTTCTCAAAAGTCCCACTAAAAGGTCGATTGCAGAGGAGTAGGAGGCCGGGGAGACCCAAGGGAGTCTCAAGAGGCCTGTGTTACACTGTACCCACTAGTTAGAGCCTGTCACACCCGCTGCAGCTCGCCAGGGCAGGGCGACCGCTCCCAGAGTGACCGGGCAACTAGCCCCTGTCGAATGCTAGAGACAGAGCCGGGACAGTACCTGGCTAGAGGTACTTGCCTTTCTTCAGTCTGGGGCAGAGTGCATCCGGAATATAAGCTGCCCATTGCAACTGAGGATTCACCTCTCAGGGATCATGGCACACAGGCCCCAAGATATTTTGCTGTTAGAATTAAGAACAATATTATTTTAATTCTACATCGTGACTGACATTGACACGAGAACAAACGAAATGTTCACAATTAGCTTTGCAACTACTGAGGGCAATTTACCTGAAGCCTGGTTGAAATTCATTTCCCCCCTTCTCCATCTCTTCTCTCCTCCCTCCTCTCCTCTCTCTAACATCTTCTCAACGTTTCCTCCTCACCATCATCTGATATGATAATATATAATAAATAATATTAATAAAAAGGACCAGCTCTTTCCCAATTACAATATTTACGGGAGGGGATGTCCTTTTTGAAACTGGAACTTGAATGATTACCGGCTTCTCTTCTTCTCAGTTCCTTCCTAGTCGGGGAGAATGCAGTAATGTTGCGTCCTGGAGGAGCTGAACAGCTTCTGGAGGCCCAGGATAATGGTGCAGGCAGATCCAGTGCCATAGCGAAATGCGTCTGGAAAGAAGTTTGGTTTGTGAAGAACCCAGAGACTTAGAAACTCTCCCTCCAGAGCCAGAGCCCGGTTGCACAGTCACTGTCCGCCCATAAACCTGCCCATGGATTAGATTGAGCGATAGGATTTGGGTACCAGCTGCGGATCCAGTGTGACAGTGTCCACTTCAGATCTCCTGAGGCTAGAGGCTGGGATCCCTAGTAGTAACTCACATTGATGCAGACCCCCCCCCACACCTCCTCCAGGTCACATCCTAAAGTCCATGAAAGGATGGACTTGAAAGGATGAGTCTTGAAGTTAATAGAGAAAGTGGGAAAGAAAGAGGACCAAATAGCATTCCTCTGTGTCTCAGAAGTGAATAAAAGTGGCAAACGATGAATAACGGCTCTCCTTTCCGTTCACATCTCAAACTCTACCCCAAGGTAACACCCTTAAAAGACCGGTACTTTGGAAAGAAGGTTAAGGGAGAGGAGCAAGGCCACCGACTTTCCTGCTGGTACTCATAGAAGCATCATGGCACTCTTAGTCAAACCCCATCCATCCTTAGTGCTGCTCAAGTTTCATTCTTAGTCATTCATTGCATTTCTTTTTGTCTTTTGTACCAGACTTACACACACACACACACACACACACACACACACACACACACACACACAGAGGTGTATTAACTACTTGATCATCCGGAGGGTTTTTCTCCTCCAGTAGATCAACCCTGCCTGCGGAAAACGTAAAGATGAACGAGAGGGAGCAAAGCCCATTTGACCATTCAGGTCCTAAGTCCAGTCCAGGAGCCCGGCACCTCCATTGACAACCTGGACAACAACCATCAACAACAACAGTTGAGTCTGTTTTCAACAGTTTACTGTCTCAGAGGTACCCAGGGATTTCTGAATCTTAAGTTGCCGCTAGAATTTTAGTGATTTGTCTCACGTAAACTCAACAAATAATAAAGGAGAGTATTTTTAATTAAATAGCTCATTGCCCCTAGGTTTAACCCCAGGGGAGAGAGAGAGAGAGAGAGAGAGAGAGAGAGAGAGAGAGAGAGAGATTCCTATTAAACTGATTTCGCTCCAGCGAATTGAGATCCCATAAGTGATAATAATCTCGGGAGATCCAAGAATGAAAACAAAAATGAAGAACAGATAAGGAGAGCAGGAGGTGGAAAGATGGAAAAGGACGATCTTTAGGCCTACAAGGGGATTAAGGACATCTATAGGCTTAAGAAGCGACAAATTAATTTACACAATTCTGGAAGAGCCCAGATGGCCTTTAATTAATCCCTTCAAAAGAAGGAGCCCGGCCCGGGCTGCCCTGGATGCCTGCTCCATTAGCTCGGTTTTGCAAGGGTCCAGACACGGTTCAGGGTGAGGCGCCTGGAGCTGGTGGGGGAAGGGGGTAGGATGACGCGACCTGCGTGGGCGGAAGCAAGGGAAGAACACGCGCTGCTTTTCCATAAAAGGGCTGGGTTTTCATTATTCCTCTCTTTAAAAAGTAATACTCTCTTCGTCCCAGCTTCCTCCTCCCCTTTTCCATTTTATTTAGCACGATTAATTGAGCCAAGCCAGTTCCACTGGAACAGCTCCTCTCGCCAGGTCCCGCCCCTCATGGCTCCGCCCCACCGGACGAAGGGGGTGGGCGGGGGAGGGGACAAAAAAAACGCTGGACCAGGCTTGCAGGACTCAGCCAATCGGAGGACGTGGCGCTCCCGAGTGGGCGTGCCCTAGGAGAGACGCGAGGCGGGAGGCTGAGCACTATTGGAGGTGGTGATTACGCCCCCGACCTGCGACCCGCCCCTCTTCCCCGCCCCTCCTTGGCCGCCTTGGAGTGACGTCCCTCAAAGTTCTCATTTGGTCCCACATCTCCCCCTCCCTTCCCCTAAAGAGCGGTAGGGAGTGATGCAAATGTTTTATTACCTTTGAGAGCTTCATCCGAACTGTCAGGCCGGGAGGGAGAGAGGAGAGAGGGGCAGAGCCTAGCAGAGGGTCAGTTTGGCCAGAGGACAAGGCTTAGGGAGAGCCAAGCCTAGAAAGCCGCGAAGAAAATGCGAGAGACGAGAGTCAAAGGCGGAGAGTGAGAGGAAGAGGGGCGCCGGGGGTTGGGGCGGGGGTCCAGGCCCGGGTGCAGAAGTGGACGGACGATCCGAGCCGAACCGTCAGACTTTTCACATTTAGGCTTTCTCGGCTCCTGTCCCTTCTCTTTTCATCTGGCCACTCGGGTGCCGGCGGGCCCAGAGGGGAAGACGGCGCGTGGGCGCGCAGAATCCCGGAGCCGTGGGAGCCGCCAGAGGCGCGATCCGTCCGCAGGCTGGCCACGCTCTTCCCCCACGTGAGGCGAGTGCCGAGTGCGAATCAGCCGCGGGGCCGAGAGAGCAGGGCGTCCGCGAGAGATTAGAGGAGCGCGTGGGGCGGAACCCGGAGTCCTTTGAAGCTCCCCAAAGAAAGCAAGCCTGCCCCCATCTTCCTACTTCAAAGTGGACGCTCGGTGCCTCTTAACTTTGTTGCAAACTCTCGGGGGCCGGCCTGGGGTTTGTTTTGCTGATTTCCCGCGGGGGGCAGAAGATGAGAAGTCGCGCACTTTGAGCGGCGAGAGAGAGGAGCGCGGGGGATCGCATCCAGGAGCCGAGCAACGAGGAACCGCGCCGACTCCCGCCGGTCTCGGCCAGTGGCCGCGGCCTCCCGCCGGGCGGGTTCGGACTTTGCTGCGGCGCCGCTGGGAGGGCCGCTCTTCGCGGCTTCGGTTGGCTGGTCGCCCCGGGGTGCGCCGAGCGACTCCCCGCTTGCGCTCTCGCGCTTCCTGCTCTCCCGGGTCCCGGCGGGGCCACCGGCCTGCGCGGCTGCGGGCTCGGGCCTGGCCGTGGGATGTTAGCGGTGGGGGCGATGGAGGGCACCCGGCAGAGTGCGTTCCTGCTCAGCAGCCCGCCCCTGGCCGCCCTGCACAGCATGGCCGAGATGAAGACCCCCCTGTACCCTGCCGCCTACCCCCCGCTGCCCGCCGGGCCCCCCTCGTCCTCGTCCTCGTCCTCCTCGTCCTCCTCACCCTCCCCGCCGCTGGGCGCCCACAACCCAGGTGGCCTGAAGCCCCCGGCCGCGGGGGGCCTGTCGTCCCTTGGCAGCCCCCCGCAGCAGCTCTCGGCCGCCACCCCGCACGGCATCAACGACATCCTGAGCCGGCCCTCCATGCCGGTGGCCTCCGGGGCCGCCCTGCCTTCCGCCTCGCCCTCGGGGTCCTCCTCCTCCTCTTCCTCGTCCGCCTCTGCTTCCTCGGCCTCTGCGGCCGCCGCCGCCGCTGCAGCTGCTGCGGCCGCAGCCTCGTCCCCGGCGGGGCTTCTGGCCGGCCTGCCCCGCTTCAGCAGCCTGAGCCCGCCGCCGCCGCCCCCGGGGCTCTATTTCAGCCCCAGCGCTGCGGCGGTGGCAGCCGTGGGCCGATACCCCAAGCCACTGGCTGAGCTGCCCGGCCGGACGCCCATCTTCTGGCCCGGGGTGATGCAGAGCCCACCATGGAGGGACGCACGCCTGGCCTGCACCCCTCGTGAGTACGATCGCGCGTCCTGTCCCTGCACCTGGTGTCTGCCTGCTCTAGGGTCACGACCCCTAGTGTGCCTGCTGGTCGGTCCATCCTCCAGTCCAAATAGCAGGATTTCGGCTGAACCACCGCGTCTAGTGAGGGGCTCGCGCTTTTCTGAGCTAGCGTGACTTCGCCCAAGCTCCTCACTCTTGCCAAAGTCTCAGGCAGACCTGGGCTCAGACCTTGTGCGTGGGTCTGGGTGTAACACCGCACATAGGCGAAACTTTGATGTCCCAGCGGTTCCAGAAGCTGCCCGGCCGGGATCGTAGGCCAGCTCGGGGTTAGAGAGATTGGGGAAGCAGAAAAGGCCTCTGAGCTCCTACTCACATCCCCACTTTTTCAGACTGTCCCTACCAATCCCCACTCCTGGCTCCCTGGCTTCAGCCTTCTATAACCCAGCGGCTGCTTACGGTCAACCGGACAGGAAGCGCAGCTACCCACCACCCCCAGCAAAAAGCATACTTTGCACCGCTAGCCTCCCTATACGCCCTCACCTCGCCTTTTCAACCATTTTCCCCAGTACACTTCGTCCACCGCCATCCTGCTGAAAATGGGCCAGGGGACCCCAGAGCCGGGCGAGCAGTTTCCGCTCTCCTGATGGGCCCACGCTTTTCCTATGCCTTGACCCCTTGGTCCAGGAAGTGTTGGGACTGAAGGGCATCACTACACTCAATTTCCTAACTCGAGAAAGAAGGACAGGGAGAGAGACGTGGCAGGGCACAGACCAGGGCCCACAAAAACTTTGCCTGGGTCAACTAAGTGGCCCCAAGATCTGGCTAGTCTTTTGGTTGGTGGGTCACAGCTCTTCCCGGATTCCTAGCCCTCCAGGTGGTGTCCAGAGCCAGGCGAGGGTCCTTTTCTCACTCTTCATTGATGATGACCAAGTCCCCGAAGTTTCTCCAAGTCTCAGGAATCTCTTTTATGAGGTTCAGTGATAGTAATGTCAGGAAGTTTCGGGAGCCATGTGAGGTTCCCCTGGGAAGGTGACTATGAGCTGTTGGGGTGTCAGGGAGACACTATTGTACTGGTGTTGATAGTAATATAGGGGCCGACAATAAAAGCTGCGCGCACACCTCTCACTCCCTCCAGTCGTGTCGGTGTTAGGCCGAGTTAACTCTCTTCTGTGCCAAAACAAGGAGTCCTTTGTTGCTCCAAGCTGGTCTGGGAAGCAGCCAAGAAAACAAAACAAAATAAAAATTAAAAAAAAAAATTGGTTACACTCACTCCAAACTACTTACCCTTCTTCGGCACCCGGACTACCCTAAGATGCCAGACTGGCCTTTTCCAGGACTCCTACTTAGTTTTGCGGGTGTCACGTTTCTGCCCCCCAACATTCCAGCAACGATCCGGAGGAATGTTGCGGGAGAGACACTGTTTGACACTGGTATTAAGCAGAGGGTATTTATGGCTGCTCCAAACACCTGGCTTTGACAAAACAGGTGGGCAAGCAGGCAAACGCAAGCTAGCGGTGCACTTGTGGTGGTGTGTGCCTCAGATACGCTTTCTCTTCCCACCAAAACATAGCTTTGGAATGCACTTTTCCCCACGCCCCAGTGAAGCACTTGTAACGGGTTGTTTCTTCCTCCCCTTGCTGGTTATCGGTTCTCACAGATCAAGGATCCATTTTGTTGGACAAAGACGGGAAGAGAAAACACACGAGACCCACGTTCTCTGGCCAGCAGATCTTTGCCCTGGAGAAGACTTTCGAACAAACGAAATACTTGGCAGGGCCAGAAAGAGCTCGCTTGGCCTATTCGTTGGGGATGACAGAGAGTCAGGTCAAGGTGAGTGGGCCTTGAAAACCTCGAGGGATAGTTAAGCAAGGTTGCCCTTGTGTTCACGTGCATGCGCGCACATCCCCCTCCTCAAACTAGCAAACCCGGTAGGGGTGGGAGTGCGCTCTGAGGAGCTTGAGGAGAGGTAGGGGAGGAGAGGGTTGGGGATTGCAAAGGCTCTGGGGTCTTGCCGAGGCAAACTGTTGATGAACAAAAGGAATCAAGCCCCTGCCTTAGAAATTAGGTTAATCTAGACAGCAGCCTGTGCTAGGAAGACTCTCCATTATCAGAGAATAAAAGCATTACCGAAATATCAACCGGGAGAATAGATCAGGCTGGTTAGATAGCTTGTATTTGTTCTATTTGTAAAGACACTCGAGCTTTTGTTTGTCAGTTCAGGCTCCACTAGATATATAATTTCCTAACCGGGATCAGCACAACAAGGCCTCTATATTAACTTGTAGATTAAAAAAACAAATGAACCCACAGGAACTACACTTATAGTTGGTGAGCTTGCTTTTCACTTAGATGAAGATGCTTATTTTGGAAAAGAAAATTTCTGAACTGCTTGACAAGATTATTACTATAATATAGGATTGAATTCTGCTTAAAGCAAGTTTATCAGCAGATTTAAGATATTGCAGTCTATGACAACAATTTGTAATTAAGATGTCACTTTGCTTATAATTGAGTTGTACACTGCATTTCTTAGAGATTCAGATTTAAGAAATCTCCCCCTGAAAATAAAGGGATTGAGCCAGCTGGGTAAATTCAATCTAATGGTTTCCTATGTTTTCTTTTGTCCATTTCAGTTTGTTTTATTTGTTTCTTCGTGCCGTATGTCTGTTTTCTTTAGCTATATTGCTGCACTTTAAAATTAAGAAGGAATATCATTAACACATCTGTTACTTAGAGTTTATTTCCCTGCCTGACAAACATCACTTAATATATTTCAGCAGTGATTTCGCACATGGCTGTTAGGAAACCATCACATTCGAAATTATTTTTTGCAGTGGGCGCCTAGAGAGCCTACCACCTTAATCCGTAGGTCCTCATCTGTCACCGTAAATATGTCTGTATGGCTAGAAGTGAATTATTATAGCTACATAAAGAAAATAACTTTCTTAACAATTTGAATTCTCTAAAGATACATGAGAAGCATAAAGAAGGATAATTCAACACACTTGGAAATTTGGTTGCTTATTGTTGATACTTTAGATTAAAATATGCATGTCAGATCCCTGTCAAACATCATGAATAGACTGAACATATTTGTATTTAAAATGAATATCTGGGCAGGAGTAAAATTATAATCTTTGAAAGAATAGTTATGATCATAATAAAAAATAATGTAATTGGCAACATTTCAATTTAAAAATAACTAACAAAAATTCTTGCTTTAACTTTATATTTTATGAATACAAAGTTAAAGGAATGTAAAGGTTAAAGAAATCAGAAGGCACTGTACTGATCTGAGTTTTAGAATATTTCAGCGTATCTGAAGTATTTGCTACCACAAGTGAATTGAAGTTTGCATTTTATCAGACTTTATACCACATATTGAGAGTGTAGGGGAGAGGAGAGTGTGCTTATGCACGAAGCTGAGTGCAGATTCCGGTCTGAAATAAGATAAAAAGTGAAAAACAGAAAGGAGAATATTGGGTTAAGTTTTGTACTTTTCCCCACAAATCGCTAGAGAGCCAGAATACCTTAGTTGCCTGAAACTTCTTAATCTAAGATAAATAAGGAATAAAATCACAGTCACTATGGGGAACTAGGCGAGAAAGTTTTCTATTTCCAATTGGAGCCCAGAAAAACAAGCGTATTTTTAGGAAAACTCGTGTAAACTTCCCAAGTTTTGTTTTTAACTTTTCAGAGAAATCGCTGACAGCGTCAATAATCCTCAGTTACAATCGCTAAGGCAACCGCGGGGGGTCGGTGGGGCGGTAGAGACTGACTTTGATGCTGGAACCTGGGAGGCCTCCGGGGAGGGTGTCAGGCCTATGGGGGCCATCCGGGGCCTCGGGGAGGTAGGAGTGACCGCCTTCGACGTTCAGTTCCTCTCTGCCCTGTCTCTCTCTTCTCCTCGGGTTTCTGGACGCTCAGGTCTGGTTCCAGAACCGCCGGACCAAGTGGAGAAAGAAGCACGCGGCGGAGATGGCCACCGCTAAGAAGAAGCAGGACTCGGAGACCGAGCGGCTCAAGGGGACTTCGGAGAACGAGGAGGAGGACGACGATTACAACAAGCCTCTGGACCCCAACTCGGACGACGAGAAAATCACGCAGCTGCTAAAGAAGCACAAGTCGAGCGGCGGCGGCCTCCTGCTGCACGCGTCGGAGGCGGAGGGCTCGTCCTGAGCGCCCGTGCGCATCCCGGCTCCGGGGACCCGGCCGCGGGGACCGACCGCCAGTCATCCTGTCCTCGGGGCCACGGCCTCGCCCAGCCCGTCGGGCCTACACTATTTTCTGAGATGTATATATCTATTTTTTTAACCTAGAAATCCTGGCCGGGGGAGGGAACGGGAAAGGGACTGCGTGTTGAAGGGAGGCCAAGGGAGCCCGAGACTTGCACCGTGGAAAACCCGCAGCTGAAACCGGCCTCCCGGCGGCTCCCACGTACCCTTCCCCAGCGGCGGGGGTCCAGGTCCCCCCATCCTGGCTCTGCCCCCAGCCCTGCGGTCCCAGGGCGACGGAAGGTGCTGTGGAAGGGCGGACAGCCACCGCGGGGGTGGGGGTGGGGATCTCCGAGCCACGCGGGAGGGCGTCCACCACCTAGGGAAAAGGGACGCCCCCCCACCTGCTCTACCGATTGAAGTAACCTGTTGAAGGCTCTGTGTAAATAAATCGTGAGTCACACTGACTAGAAGTTACTTTATTGTGAATATTTAAAATGTAAAATGCTTTTTTGGAATTTGGTATAAAAAGATGGACGGCTTCCTTCCTCCCCTTCATTTTAAGAACTATTCACGCTACGTGGTTCCCTTTCATTTTTAACTTGGGAATAATAGAAAGAGTCTTATCACCCTCCCCAGACCCCCCTCACCCCTCAGCAGGGATCTGCGGATCCCCTCTACTCTGGCACCCTTTCTTCCCCTGCCCCGCCCTCCCTGTTCCGCCCCTGGGCCGCATTAGACCTCTGCCCGACCCCAGGATTTGAAGCTGCGCAGGACCTCTCACCTGGGTTCCCCTCCGAAATTGCACAGTGGTTTGTTGCTATTTATTAGTGATTTAAAGAAAGTATTGGGGAGGGAAGGGCAACAATAGCTTGTATTTAATTTAACTCCTTTCTGATAAAAATGCGTGTTAAAAGTAGATGGTGGGAATTGTTACAACTGCTCTGGGTCAGAATATAAAAATCCATTTAGTTGCTGTAATTGAATTTCAAGTGTTTTGTATCATAAGAATACTATAGAATATGTACATTGTTTTCTTTTTTAAGCTAATAACGGTGATATATTAGCTTCTTTAACCTTTATTAATTTATACGAGAGATTCGGTTTGTAAAGAGAAGGCAGTCCCCTTTGCAAGATCCTTGAAATGTAATGCACTTTCTGTTTTAAAGGATAAATCGAATTAAAAGCAAAAACAACAGTTTGAAGACGTCTGTTGCCTTGAATGAACGGTGCAGGTCATCTGGCCTCATGGGAGATCTCAAAAGTCAAGACGGCAAAAATGTTACATCAGCTTTTCGAGTGAAATAGCTGTTGATGTATTATTACTATTACTATTACTATTATTATTATTATTATTATTTATTAGTGCTATCATCACCATCATCATCATCTCCACTACCACCACTATCATTGTCATTATTCTCTGGAGATGTGGAATCACACCTGTCCCCCTGGATTGGAAGGACAGAGTAGCAGCCCCACTCTCAGACTTGTTGGGGGGGTCTTGTCTAGCGGGTTCTTCTGATGTCTGTGACTCTGATGCTTTCACAGTTGCTTTTTCCTTGTCAGGAAGTCCCTGGGGGGTTTGGGCAGCCCTCATCTCCTTATATCCAAGGGAGTTCCTCTGCAGCCCCTGATTTGATTAGCTCGGAGCCGACAGAGGAGCCTGGCGCGGCCTCTCTGCACTGGACGTTCGCATTTCCTACAGTCAGCCTAGCCTATGGCAGAAGAAGGGAGCCCTGATTTTGCCAAGCATCACAATGGATGATGGATGGAAAGGAAGCTTTCTTTAACTATGTGAAAGTCTTTAGTGTTAAGGACGCACTGCCAGGAACTTCCACAGCGAGAAACTAAGGGAATCTCAGAACTGGCACTGTCTTGGGATTTTGTTGAGGGTGGGGTGGGGGAGAGGGGGCGGTGGAAGACACCAGACAGGTTTCTTGTTTTATTTTCAGACACTCGGTTACAGACTCAGGGAGATATGGCTATTCCTTGGTGGTGCAGGTTAATGAGCTGTGTTCCAAGAGAGAAAAATCAATGGAATCTCCATTCTTCAGATTAGTACCAGGGAAGGAAGATTTGAGACGTTTGGTTTCCTAGAAAAATACATATTAAAGAAAAATTTTTCACAAGTTCAACAAAATAAAATGGCTAAAGGAAGTTCTTATAGAGTTATTTCTGATAGGGCGGTTAGTCTGAAAAGAAGGAAAACAACTCCACTTTTAATTTTCTCCAGTTTGCAAAGTTCTCAAGAAGTTTCAAATGCACCTCAATTTCTATGTTCTTAGCAAGATGGAGGTGTTCATCCTATAGAGAGACAACTACTTTTCACAGAAGGGTTTGCTCAGTGGGGGTGATAGCATTTCAACCCTAGCTGTACACAAGCAAGACTTCATATTCATCCTCTCTCTCTTTCTCTCCTTCCTTTTCAGTATTTCCTTCTTCCCTCTTCCCTCTTCTTGTCTTTCTCACTTTTTACTATCTCCCTCCCTCTCTCTTCCTTCCTTAAAAGGACTCTTCCCTCCTTCTCCTGGGTTCACTCTTTTTCTTCTTGTGAAAGGACTGTCAGAAGGAACAGCCTGGTATCTTGCACCTACAATTTATTGCAACAAATAAAAATTCTTATACTTCACTCTTTTCAGCTTTTACCCACCGCTCCTCTGCCTTGAAAAGTCAAGAAACATTTTTATATTTTCTTCCTATGAAAAATTCATAATATAGTTAGAAACATTATTCCTGAATAATAACAATGATACTACTAATAATTAATAGTAAGAGAAATAATATGGTAGTATGAGTCATAGAAAACTTGGGAGATGGAAGGCTTCTCCCAAGAAGTAAATGATTTCATGGGTTATAGTATTTATTTCAGATCGGGTGTGTGGAGAGGAGTCTGTCACAAATTCTTTAAGAAACAGTCTCTCTGAGCTCTGCATCTTCAGATCTGAGATGTAGGAAGAGTCAGATCTGGAACCTGGACTGTATCCTCCCCACCCTCAGCAGAATGTGGTGGTAGGTGGGTCTGCTGGAAGGGGAGCAGCCTCTGGCTCTGGGGCCACCATGCACTGGCATCCATTCCTTCTTTCCAGTTGACTGCAGCAGTGACTTGAGGTTTCCAGTTAATTTACTTCATCCAAAACTCTAGCTGGCCACCAGTTGCTACTGACCCCTCCAACTGGGAGGAAAGGGGAAGTGTGTGTGTGTGTTCCCTTTAATTCCCTTTGTCTTGGTTGGCTTGGTTTCATCCTATGTGTGTGCAAGAAAGCTCAGGAAGCATACTTCTGCTCAAGCAGCAGAGGTGAAGAATCAGGTTTTTTTTTTTTTTATCTTGACTCATATGGCATTAACAACCATAAGCATCTGATTAAGGCTGCAAACCAGCCGTCACAGCTAGAGGGTCAAGATTTCATGCCAAAAAAGTCACAGCAAGGAACTTGACAGATCATTGCTTTTATAAATGCTAACAGGCAACAAAGTGCCAACAGTGGAGGATAGAGAGAGGGAGGGAGGAATGGAGAGAGAGAGAGAGAGAGAGAGAGAGAGAGAGAGAGAGAGATACCATGAAGCCCAGCTGTAAAGCAGCCAGAATACTGATATTTATGCTAGGATGAAAAAAGAAAAACAGTGTGTAAAATCTGGTTTCGTCTTATATGTGTTTGCAAAACATCTTCGGCACTCTAACTGAATACAATTAACCAAAACACCAGATCATGTTTAATTATTTTATGTGTCAAATGCAGACCACATGGGAGGTACTTTGCAAAGGAAACAGGCTCTTGTCCTCTGAAGATGGCAGTCTAATCAGGAATTCAAACGCACCCAATGGGCATGCTGTGAAAGGGAGGGTAAGGTCCAGTTTTGATATTTGTTGGTTTCTAAAAAGGAAGTCAAGGAGGAGGCTGCTTAAGGGATGGGGGTGGGGTGGGGGGCATGGGGCAGAAGGAAAGGGCCCTGGACAAGTGGTTCAACTATGCCTGTTGGATTCTCTGCACCCACTCAGTTCTCATTAGTTCAAGCTTAGTTCTCCTATGTGGTGATTAATTTTCTCTTTGGTTCACATTCAGGATTCTGGAGTCATGGCCATATGCCTTCCTTCCAGAATCGGTACTCTACTGGACATGTTTCCAGGCTTATGAACATTTTGATTCACTTTTCTTTTCCTTACTTGAGGACAGTGGGGTGAGAGAGAGAGAGCAGGCAGTTTGTTCTGGATATACTGTACTAAGTCACAGAGTCTAAGAGTGCCTTTGCAATTCTCTGGAATCCAGTATCCTGAGACGAAAATTGGTATTAAACCAGCACCACTTTGGGAAAGTCCACTCAGCCCTGCCCTTTAGGCTGTTGGAAGACACACACACACACACACACACACACACACACACACACACAAATTCCACTTGGGAACTCCTAGCACCAGCTAGGGTAATGAGACAGTGGCTCCTTTGTTAATGCTTGACAATGGGATGGTGTAATAACCGAGGTAAGTGTTGATTTCATCTATAAACTCCATTTTAGGCTAATTTGAACAGCTTTCTCTGCATTAAATCCTCCGTCTTTTACCACAACACACAGGATTGCAGAAATTTTTTCTTTTCCCTCCTTAGGATGCCCCCCTCCCCCACGCCTTTAAAGTCAGTTCTTCAGCACATTTTCTTCTTTGACAGGGAAGTACACATTTTGATCTGAAGCATTTACATGGCCCACTTCAGAGGAACGCACTCTCCTTAATGCAACTCTTTCTCTTCCTTCCTCTTTCCCCTCCCCTCCTCTACTCCTCCCCCTTTTCCCTTTCCTCCTTCCCTCCCTTTTCTTCCCTTCCACTCCCCTTTCTTCCTTTCCCATTTCCTTTCCTTTGCTCTTCTCCCTTCCTGTCTCTCATCTTATTTCGTCCCTCCCTCCCTCCCTCCCTCTCTCCCTCCCTCCTTCCTTGTTTCCTTCCTTCCTTGCTTTCTGAGATATTGTCTTGCTTTGTAGCGCAAACTGGCCTTAAAGTGGAGATTCTCCTGCCTCATCATCCTAAGTGTTGGGATTTTGGGCCTGTGTCATCATACTTGGCTAGACTCTCTTAAGATCTGTAGAAAGCACAGTGCCATCCATAATCCCCCTCATCTACTAATGGAAAGTTCCCACTAGAAAAGAGGGCAGGTTTGAGCAGCATGACTGAGGAGAGATGGGATCTTTCCTGAGATTTGGCTTTAGCATTCCAGAGATTGGCTTGGGGTTGTTCAAGGAACTAGAGAGTTTATCTTAGAGCTTGAGTTTCCTTTCTGGTCTTTTTCTCCCATCCAATCTCAGTCACCTGAAGATGAGCTCTCTCGATGTACATCATTTGTTCTGATGTCCTGAAGCAAACATTTCTACTGAATAACACATTCAAAGACTTTGAAAAGCATGTCTCCATGGAGTTTAATTTGTGCTGGAGCCTGAGCCTAAATTTCACAGTAGAAGCCTCATCCAAAACTTCAGTGTCTACATTAAATAATACTAAAGGTTAGTTCGAAGAAGGAGGATGTATTCAAATATGTGTCTCTTCCTCCTCAAAGGGGAATTTTTCAACTATGCAGCTTAGACTCATGCATATTACTTTTATGGAGGATCCCTAGAAACTCTCTAATGTTATTTCCTTTATCTTCCTTGGGGTAGCCAAAAGAAATGTTGAGGTATAATTACTCTACAGATCTGGCAGATATATAAAATTCAGGAAGGAAGCCAGTGCACGAATTTCTCTCACTTTTGTAACATAGGCTTTTATCAGGTCAGGGAACATAAATTATGAAAAAAATTAATTGCTGATAAGCACTGAGGGGCAAACCTGGTTGTATTAACCACAGAAAGTTAAGTTTTCTGGAAGCTCACTCACTTAGTTCTTATCATATGGTACAGTCTTCTTCAAACAAATAACAGCATTTGACGAGTTTTCATGCTTCTAATCTGAGCCCCACACATTGACCCATAGTTCTTGGTCTTCTCTCTGGTCATCAGTGGTAGCAATGGCCTTTGTACTTGATGTTATGGTTTAGCTCTTTTTAAAAATATTTTTATTTATTTATTTTATTTTATGTTTATGAGTGTATTGCCTCACATGTGTAAGTGTACCAGTGTGGTGCAGTGTCTGTGGAAGTCAGAAGAGGGCATTGGATCCCCTGGAACTGGGGTTACTGATGGTTGTTAACTGCCATGTGGGTGCTGGGACTCAAA